CAAATTATTGAATATGAATCGACTGTGAACATATTGAATATGTTATGAAGCAGATAAATAGTTATAAAGATATAAAGACTGGGAGAAATTTTCTTGAAATACTTAACAAAAATTAAAACATTTCATAAGAAAAATTTTAGTTTTTCAATAAACCTGAAATAACAATATAAAAAACTGGTTTTCTCTCTCCCATTTCTCCTGTTTAGATTTCACATCTCTTGATATAATCCTGATCCTTCTAGTACTTTAGTTTCTGGTTGAATTATGCTAATTTTCTTAGGGGACTTTAATCCGTGTGTAGAGATGTATTTTTAATTAGTTGTGCTTTACATATTTATCAGTATATTAGGTTCATTAACATTTTAAAGTTGTTTTAAAGTATAAATTATTGGTGCTTGATTTATGTGTTTTATAAAAATCAATCTCTCAACTCCTAAATCCTTGAAAGTGTTGATTTGCTACTACTTTCTTCTGGGTGATGTTCAAACTGTTAACAATTAGGCAGTCAAAGTTCAATTTCTAATGAATTTGTTATCCACTTAATTCATTATATTTTAATTAATGTAAGCAAATTAAAACTACATTTTCTTTTTGTATACACAGTGAGCACGAGTGAGTATTATAACCCAATTTCTGTTTTATTGCCAGCTAGAGCTATTATCAGGGAGTTTATTGTGGACTTAGCTCTAACAATTAATTCTGTAACAGTAGCTGTCCTGGAAGTCAAATGATTAAGGCAAAAACAAACAGAATTAAACGCAATTATTCAAAATTTCAGTTATCCAAAAATTAGCATATGTTCCACACTGTATTGCCCATTAAAAAAGTCTTCCCTTCAAGGATTTAGTCATGCTAAATAAAGTTCTGCTTACTTCTCACAAATAAACTCAAGTTCTGATGTCATTAAAAATTTTGCATATTGATTTAGTGCATAGACCTTTTGATTCTCAAAAAAAACTGTAATATATGGATGTCTGTGTTTGAGATTTTTAGCTTTGGAGTCAGTTAATCCTAGCAGCATTATGATATCACTCAATAAAAGCTTCTAGAGATGGGGAAAAGAAGCAGGAGATGGTTCTTCTAAGGGAGCAGAGGTTATAAAGTTTCATCATCCTAAGCATCATGCTTTTGTCTACAATAAAAAAAATTGCATTGCTAAGCACGCAGCAACAACATGGAAGGCATGAAGTAAACTAAATAAATGCTCCCTCTGAAATCAATTGTCGTTTTAGGGTAGCACAGGTTATAGTAGCAAACATCTGTATAATATTTGGCCCTTCCCTGGTGACTCAATCAGTCTGCAATACCAGAGACCCAGGTTCGATCCCTGGGTCAGGAAGATCCCCTGGAGGAGGAAATGGCAACCCACTTCGGTACCCTAGCCTGGAGAATCCTATGGACGGAGGAACCTGGCAGGCTACAGTCTATGAGGTGGCAAAGAGTCAGACACAACTGAAGCGACTTAGCACACGCATATAATCTTTATCATGAGCTAGCCCTTTACATATATATATATACACACATATACACATACATATATAAAATTAATCCTCAGAACAGCTCTGTGAAGTTATTAAAATTTTACTATTTTATAGATTAAAAGATTAAGAAATTTTCACAAGATTACACAGCTTGTAAATAGTGGAGTTAGAATTTTAACCTAAGCAGTTGACCGTGTTGTTTCTTTGATATTATAACTAGTTCATCTTCAAATTCCCTTCTTTCGAGGATTTATTTTAATAGTAATTATAAAATATATGATGTTTAAATGAATGCAGAGTTTTCCTAATGGTGCATGTCTTGACATCAGTGTTGGAACTCACAGGTCTGGTTCACATTTGTTTGTTTCTTTGTTTCCTCAAAATGTGAGGATTCAGGATGGCTAACTTTCCTTGGCGCATCCCACACATTTGAAACGGAAACACTTGATGTAACTGAATTCTCTATCAGGCCCATCTGGTTATCCCATGTAGATGAAGACTTAATTTAAATTTCACGTTGCCTATTAGTTAATTTAAGCTAATAGGATTTCAATTTTTTAAGTTTAAACCTTGTTGTTTCCTTAAGGATGTAGTCTACTTTTAATTCCTTGAGCTTCTCGAACTGGTCTCTTCCTCCCTGGTTTTTTATCTAAAATCATTAATTACCGTAACAGTGCCAAAATAAAAAAAAAAAATCTCAATAGACATGATTCCGAAAATCTTTATGCATTTTAATTAACATATGTATAATCTTGTGTGGTATTGATATATGTGACCAGAAGTTTTATTTTTATATTGAATCTATTATTTCCTCATTTCTGTCATTTTAAAACTAAAAAAATTTCTGTATAACAATTTGAAAGATCTTTTTATGTACCTTCAGTTTCCTTCCAAAAACCTTTCATGGCAGATAAAAGTCATTTTTAAAACCTATTCCCCATAAAAATTGCTAAGAACAGGTAGATTATATTTCATTTAAATCAAGTTATAAAGAAAACCAATCAAATAGAATTTATAATGGAAATTAAAACTGAATTTACTATTACCCAGCAACAGAAGGATCCATTTCTTCATTTTTGGATCACATTTCCTCAGAGAACATAATTACTCTTAATTTTTAAAAAGATACCTTTATTAGTTTGAAAGGTTTTCATGTTCATTAGGTAAATTAGAAAAGCTTTGGAAAAAGAAGGGAAACATCAAGTAGAAAACATCTTATTGACCTAACTGAACATTTTAAAATGCCACTGAGGGTTTGCTGATGTTCTTTAACACCTGTGTAATAATGTTGCCCTTTAAATGGAACTGGTTAAATTTTCAAAGCTGTGTTCTGGGATTTTGCCATTTGATGTCCATTAATATCAATTGGAATATGTGGCCAAATCCCTGTGTACCACTTTGAAACTTTACCCCTTGGTGTTAATGATAGTCTTCTAACAGTGCAGTTAGAAATAAATTATTTATCTGCTTAGCACAAATTTCCTTTACTCTCTAGGGTCAACTGAATAAGGAAAAAAAAAAAAGAATCCCAATGTTTCTTTATTGCTTCAAAGTAACATGTGTGTAAAGGAGCCATCAACGTAGTGTATATTGAACATGTCAGTTACATTATGCCAGGATAGCTATATGTCTGTTTAAAAGATTCAAGTTACAAATTCCCTAAAAATGCTTTCCTCTAACCTTTACCCTTGAATTCCTTTTTAGTATAGCTAAAGATATGTTTTTATAAGTATGCGTGTGTGCAGTCTTTCCCTGCATCCTCCTGTCCACTGTGTTCATCTTTTTCAATGATTAAAACATTCAGACTTAGAAGAAGTCACTGCTAAATATTTTAAAATAGAAATAGGGTCTTGATGTTCAGTTTCTAAATGGCCCTAACTTACTGCCTTGTATTTAAATATCAGTTATGGAATTCCGAAGTTTCAGCATTGAATATTCTTGCCTAAGAATGCTACTATCCAGAGGAAGATATTTTTAGGTTTGGGAGCACCAAGTAGTCATTTCAACAAACATTTTGGTGTTGAATGCAAAAGCATTAGTTACACATAAATTCAGTTTCATCTGAAATGAACAGGATGAAAAGAAAACCACTGATTTTATTTTTTAAATTATTTTTATGTTTTTTAAAAAATATTTTTTTCTGTTTCCTTACTCTTGGCTATGCTGGGTCTGCACTGATGTGAGGGCGTGTGTCTAGATGCAGTGAGTAGGGCTGCTCTGTTAGTTGCGGCGTGCAGACTTCTCATTGCAGTGGTTTCTCATTGCAGCACATGGGTTCAGCAGTTGTGGCTCCCAGGCGCTAGAGCACAGGCTCAGTAGTTACGGCACACGAGCTTAGTTGCTCCTCGGCATGTGGGATCTTCCTGGATCGAGGATAGAACTCATGTCTCCTGCATTGGCAGGCAGATTCTTTACCACTGAGTGACCAAGGAAGCCCAACCACTGATTTTAATGGAAGCTCTTCGTGCTTCCTTAATGCGAACGCCAATAAATACATACTGAGAATGCTGGTAAAGATGCTGGTGATGGTGGACGGATGCCGAAGTACTCACCACAAAAGACTTGTTTTACCTTTCACTTGTTTGGTTGTTTGTGGAGGTCTGGTTGAGGCAATGCCACATTCTTGCACCAAAGAAACTACTTTTACTTCAGAAAATGCCTTTAAGGGACCATTGACTTATGAGTGTACATCAGAAATATCAAATTACATAGCTATATTGTGAGAACATTAATTTACTCCAGATTGTGTTAACCCTTGAGAGTCTGAGCAATGTAATCATGTGAAATATGACCTAAAAAATGCTGTCTTCTGTCCATCCCTGCAGCTTTTATTGTACTTAGCAAATAATGTATTGGTAATGTTTGGTTAAATAGTGTATAAAAAATCAAATGTACACTCTCTAATTACTGAATTCTAGTAAATTCTCTTTAACTTGGTTAAAAATTTCTAACATATGAAAAATTAGATTAGGCTCACTATGTTTCGTCAGATTTGGGAAAATACATGTAAAATGCAATATGGAATCTGTAAGTTCATCAGCACCTTACTTGTTTTTGCAGTATCTCGATTCACACCAGCTGCTTTATACTTCATGGAAACATAACATAACTGTATGTCTATTTATGCACTGTATGTGATTGTTTTTCTTTTACAAAATCTGCCATTCCTTGATCTTTCTCGAACAGATGCTTGAGTGTTCCATACAATCTTTTACATGGTACTATATATTAAATTGTAGTATGTATGTATTGTATGCAGGAGTTTACATTGCTATACCCTCTTGCATAACATTCCTGCATGCAATAATAGCATCAAAGTCCTTAAAATAAGAATACATCCATTTATAAATTAACATACTTTGAAACATAACAATGTTTCTGTTTTGCATACTTATGTATCTTAAGTAGAGATGAAATTGAATTTTGTCTAGTACAACACTGCCATCACACAGTACTGTTATAAGGCAATATGCTCAAGTGGTCAATATTCTAACCATTGATCACCCTTATTTTCCATAGGCACAGCCATCAGACCTATTGCTTTGAGAGCTGTGACCACCATCGCTCGTGCTTTGCCTGGATTTCCCATTTTGGCCACTGGTGGAATTGACTCAGCTGAAAGTGGCCTTCAGTTTCTCCACAGTGGTGCTTCGGTGCTCCAGGTAGTACTTGTGTTTGTCCATCCCTTCGTAAAGCTCCATCTAACAAACAAACTGTAAATTATGTGACAACAAATATGTTCTTGTAGAGTCTCTCAAGAAAGAATCCTTGTGGGATCAAATTGGGTGGCGCTCATTAAGTTTCTGTTATGAGTTAAGAACACCCTGAGGTTCATTTCCTGTCATTTCTTGTTCTTTTAAGAGCTTATAAACCCTCTATTTAAAAAAAAAAAAAACATATTTGTGCACCTGTATGTTTCTAAAATAAATGGGATCAGGTACCAAAATCCATACTGTGCTACTGGATAAAAACCAAATACATGAGGAAACGTGGGTAAAAGCAAGATCTTGACTGGAAAATAAAAGAAGCCCAGGGTAAGGCCAATACAAAACCTCTGCTGTATGGTACTGTAAGATTGACAAAAGTGACTCTGAACTTCCTGATAGCCAAAGCAAGGAAATCACAGTTTTTCAAAATATAGAAATAAATCAACTGTTTACCTTCTTGTGATGTAAAGCTGAGGGAGATTCTTTCATTGTTTTCATAAAAAGATACTTTGAGATGTAGTGCATCATACTCTTATTAACCTTCTACAAATAACTTAGAAATCACTTTTTTATTAATTATAACCTTGCTTTTTACATTATAATCTTGTTCAGTGTAGATACAGTACAGTGCCTCCATATTTTATAGTATAAGCATCACTCTCAGGGGCGAGATATGCAGGTTTCAGTGATGTGATGGGAACCAGAGGTAAAATTTTTCACATGGCAAGTAGTCTGTGACTTCTGAGGTAATATTCCTTTAATATGGCTTCTTACTACCTAGCATTGATAGTAACTGGGGAGCAGAATGTTTAGCATCACTTATATTCTCTGGCAAGAATGTAAAGTGTAAAATAACGTGTTGCCAATTTGACAATTGGAGTTAACATCCCATTATGAAATATAAAGTGAAAACAACATATATCAAAATGCTAATGGAGGCAGACTTCTGCTTCCAAGAAGATGGAATAGATGTAATTTTTCCTATGCTTCTGAATTTTATATATACAACTAACATAAAGAGACTCTGAAATGTGAGGAGAAGGCAGTCTGGCTAGGAATCTCAGGACCCAAGGCACAAAAGAGGGGAGAGTTTCCTGGGTTTTCTTTTTGCCTCATATATCCAGACTTCGATCCAAAGAAGCCAGCAACAGGGAAACAACAGGGGTAGACCAAAAAAGAAAATATACACACACACACACACACACACACCCTTTGTAGCTAGAGAACCAAGAAAGGGCAACCTAGCAGACAGAAAACTTTTAGACCATGACTGCTCTCCTCCAGCCAAATACTGCAGCTAAAACCTGCAGCGCCAAACCTCTCTACACAAAGTACAAGCATGAGTCTTATACTTCCAGTCTCAGGAGGCCGTAACAAGGCACCTAGCGTTGCCCGTGGGCCATAATGATCCCCCACATATTGGAGGCATGGACTTCCACCCCACTGACAGTGATGAAGTGTCCCATCTCCTCCCCTTTGGGACACTGTCAGAGGAAGTCTAATGGGGAGTCAGGACTTTTGTCACCACCCAGTGGTAACAAGGCCACTCTGTCCCTCCCACCACAGTCCCCTGGTGTCAGAGGAGGCCTAGTGGGGAGCCAGATCTCCTATCCTATCCTGGCAGTTACATGGAGAATGTCTTTCAGAGTCAATGGAGGTCAACTAGGGTACCTGGGCAGTAAGGAGGCAGCAACCTCTCCCTCCCCTGCCAGAATGGTATCCAGAAAAGCCAGCTAAAACCGGTTTAAATAAGATGAAGTCTCTCTTAACATAGTACCCCAAATGTCAGTGTTTCGATTGAAAATCACTCATCATACCAAGACCCAGGAAGATCTCAAGGTGAATGGTAAAAGACAATTAATAGATGGCAATATCAAGCTTACAGAGATTTAGGGTGATCTGATATTTTGAAATCAGTCATCATAAAATTTCTCTAACATGGCAATTACAAACATGCCTGAAACAAATGGAAAATATGGAAGATCTCAAAAAAGAAATAGAGGATATAAAGTACTTCAGTACTGAAAATTACAATAGCAAATACAAAAGTCAGTTGACAGGCTCAAGAGAAGTATAGGGAGGACAGAGAAATAATCAGTGAAATGGAAGACAGAGAAGTAGAAATTAACCAATTTGACAAAAAGAGAGAAGAAAGACTGAAAGGGAAAAAATGGGCAGAGTCTCAAGGAACTGTGGGAGTACAGAAAAAGATGTAATATTCATGTTATCAGAATACCAGAGGAGAGATTAAGGAAAGAGGGGATAAAAAGGAAATAACATCTGAAATTTCTCAATTTTTGCAAGAGACATAAACTTACAAGATTCAAGAAGTTGAATGAATCCCAAATTTGAGAGACATAAATCTATGCCAAAACATATCATCATCATACTTCTGAAAACTAAAGACAAACAACCCCTTGAAAACAAGAAAACCATGACATTTTACTTATAAGGAACAAAAAATTCTAATGACAGTCGATTTCTCATCAGAAACCACGAAGTCCAGAAAGTGGGACAAAAGTTTTCAGTTGTTGAAAGAAAAGATCAACCCAGAATCCTATTTCCTTCAAGAAAGAAAGATAAAAAACATTCTTAACTCAAGAAATACCAAGGATTTATTTCCAGGAAGCATAACTAAAAGAATGACAGAAGTTCCTTAAGAAAAAGAAAAATTATGAAAGAGGGTACTTTGGGGCATCAGAAAGGAAGAAAGAATACAGAGCAGATATACAGATATGTCAATACAATACAGATATGTGAATGTAGAAAGTGCTATGTATCCTCATAAAAACATGTGGTGAAAGAATCACTCAAATTGCAGTTTATGCTTAGGCTCATCTAGGATTGAAAAGCAAAGAATCATTCAAACTTCCTGAAGAAAACAAAGCCTATTGTATAGTATATATGAATGCAGATAAGAACTACAAGAACCAATGGGGCACTTCTCTACTCAGAAAGGGCAGAGACCTTTTCCACTTCTCTTTCATGAGCCATGTGATTTTTCCCGAAAGGAATCTATAGTTCTGTCTGTTCCTCTTTAAGACTTAACTCTTCATTTCTGCCTCCTCTGAACTGCCTAGCTCATGCTTATCATGGGCCATTCTACATGGTGGTCTGTCAGTTCCACTTTTTACATGAAATACCTTACCAGCTGAGTATCTGTCTCTTGGCTTAGATTTTCAAAACAGGAAATCTGCTTGGCTTAATGTATCTTTTCATGCCAAGCATCATCATAAAACACTAGTCACCTAATGTATTGGCTGGTGTATAGCAGAAACACATTAAACATTTGTTGAATGAATTTTTTAAGTGAGTATGTTTGAGTTGTGATTTTTTTTTTTTACTAGATTGTGAACAGAGGGTGACAGGTTCAACATGGTATTAAAAAGTGGCCGTCAAAACTCTGCTCCTTCAGCTTAGGCTTGGAGACTTTCCAACTACATAAAATATTGACTCCCAGTTGATATTCTTAGAAATGTAAATTTCCATACATAGTCTTTTACTGGTGTAAACTTGCAGGTTACGTATCAATTATGTGTCATTATGTGTCATCATGGACATCACCAGATTGTCAACACTGAAATCAGATTGATTATATTCTTTGCAGCCAAAGATGGAGAAGCTCTATATAGTCAGCAAAAACAAGACCAGAAGCTGACTGTGGCTCAGATCATGAACTCCTTATTGCCAAATTCAGATTTAAATTGAAGAAAGTAGGGAAACCACTAGACCATTCAGGTATGACCTAAATCCCTAACACCTATACAGTGGAAGTGAGAAATAGATTTAAGAAACTAGATCTGATAGACAGAGTGCCTGATGAACTCTGGATGGAGGTTTGTGACATTATACAGGAGACAGGGAACAAGACCACCCCCAAGAAAAAGAAATGCAAAAAAGCAAAATGGCTGTCTAAGGAGGCCTTACAAATAGCTGTGAAATGAAGAGAAGCAAAAAGCAAAGAGAAAAGGAAAGATATACCCATTTGAATGCAAAGTTCCAAGGAATAGTAAGGAGAGATAAAAAAGCCTTCCTCAGTGATCAGTGCAAAGAAATAGAGGAAAACAATAACATGGGAAAGACTAGAGATCTCTTCAAGAAAATTAGCAATACCAAGGGAACATTTCATGCAAAGATGGGCTCAATAAAGGACAGAAATGGGATGGACCTAACAGAAGCAAAAGATATTAAGAAGAGGTGGCAAGAATACATAGAAGAACTGTACAAAAAAGATCTTCAAGACACAGATTATCATGATGGTGTGACATCATAATCATGATGGCCAGACATCCTGGAAAGCAAAGTCAAGTGGGCCTTAAGAAACTTCATTATGAACAAAGCTAGTGGAGGTGATGGAATTCCAGTTGGGCTCTTTCAAATCCTAAAAGATGATGCTGTTAAAGTACTGCACTCAATAGGCCAGAAAATTTGGAAACTCAGCAGTGGCCACAGGACTGGAAAAGGTCAGTATTTATTCCAATCCCTAAGAAAGGCAATGCCAAAGAATGCTCAAACTACTGCACAATTGCACTCATCTCACACGCTAGCAAAGTAATGCTCAAAGTTCTCCAAGCCCGGCTTCAAGAATACATGAACCGTTAACTTCCAGGTCTTCAAGCTCGTTTTAGAAAAGGCAGAGGAGTCAGAGATCAAATTGCCAACATCTGCTGGATCATCGAAAAAGCAAGAGAGTTTCAGAAAACATTTATTTCTGCCTTATTAACTATGCCAAAGCCTTTGACTGTGTGGATCACAATGAACTGTGGAAAATTCTGAAAGAGATGGGAATAACAGACTACCTGACCTTCCTCTTTAGAAGTCTGTATGTAGGTCAAGAAGCAACAGTTAGAACTAGAAGTGTAACAACAAACTGGTTCCAAATAGGAAAAGGAGTACGTCAAGGCTGTATATTATCACCCTGCTTATTTAACTCATATGCAGAGTACAACATATGA